TGATAGATTACAGTCCATAAGGTTAACAACAGGAGGGATACTTACAAGGTATATTTACAAATAAATGAATAAAGTTGAAACTAAACACAGAAATTGATAATATATTTTGACAATTATTCAGTCCTATTGTAGTGTGCGCTACTTATAAGTAGTATATGACGCGAGTGAAAACGTAATGTCTGGCAGCAGAAGATGGGCGAAGATCAAGAAAGGGAGAGCGGGAACACAATGTGGTTTGTATGAAACGCATGAATAGTGAAATGTCAGACAATGGATTGATGATGGATTGATGTTTTGCAAATTAACGATTTACGATATGGTTTCCTATTTTACCAATTAACTCTGTAATTTGCGATAAATACAATTCGGTTGCCCTCACCTGTGTTCTCCTTCACTACACTATTACTTATTATCGTCTTACTTCCTATACAACTAAACATCAATAGTCATGGATCTGAAGTGATCACTAGTTTTCAATGATACTCGATCTGTAATCAGTCAGTGACCAGTACAACCTAAAAATTAATGTATACTCAGAATAAACATACACATATATAAAATGTGTTCACTAATGACTAGCTTTATGAGGAAATTCTCGAGGTTCTGATGAGAAACCGTGTCCAGCGGAATTCAGCTCTGTTCGGTATGAGAGAGTTTCCCACCTGAGACAATGGATGAGGTTGCGCAATACTTTGCATTGATGAAAGTTAGACATTAACACAGTCATATACCGGTTCAGTAGTCTAAAGTTTTGGGTACGAAACCGAAAGCCCAGTGTTTAATCCCCGCTACAAAGGGTGGTGGTTGTGCACTGCTGATAAGTCCCGTACTAGAAAGAAACGGCCGTCAAATGCTTCCAAGTTTCTGATGGTGATCTGACATTGATCGATTCATGATTTCAATAAAACTCAACAATCTTCACAACCTTAATACTGATAATCACGTACTTAAAAAATATAAATCAAGATTTTGGACCGTAACAGAAAGAAATAAAAATCAGAATAATTTATGCAATGATAAACATTAACCTTTAATTGAATACACTGAAATAAGATCTGTTTAAATTAAGTAAAGAATTTTGAAAAAAGATACTTTAATTGTTCACGCACAAAAAATGAGATTAGTAACCATAGTGTTCACAACCGAATCAATGATGAAGACGATGATGATGATGATAATGATAGGTGGGAAAAAGAAAACTAATGAATGACAAAAGAAAAAAAGTAGTCGTTATTTTTTTGTTGTTGATGTGCATTACGTGTTATTATCACGATACTGATGATGATTTTTACTATTGTAATAACGATAATGATAATAATAGTCAATTAGACATGCGTGATTTACTTGACTCCGAAAAAAGAAAAGAGGAATGGAACGATTTAAAAATGACTCCAAAACATTGATTAATCATACAAACAGAAACTATGATGAAAATTAATGGGTATGCGTGTTGAAAAGTCGGTAAATCGATAGAGGATAGAATTTTATTTTACGTTTTTTTTAAAGTTAAGTTTTCGTCCCTTCATATTTTTTTTGTTCTTGGTTAAAAGAAAGTGACGAAAGAAAGTCACAGTAACAATACAGTCGGAACATGAAAGGCTAATTAAACAATTGAATATTGTTCAAATTGATACCTAAATAAAAAAAAGCGATATGGGGGTGGTGTATGCGATGAACACTCGATAATTTCAGTGTCATAGTAACACTCAATTCAATATTTTTCTTTCCATACAATAAAATTTTATATTTCTTGACAAAATGACCATTCAATGGGTTACGGTAATGAATAGTTAATACTAATAAAATGAAGTGATGATTTTGTTGTTGAGGTTACTGTTTTAATACATACATCTTAACTATTGAAAGTTGCTACTTATGTTAGTAGTTAATAGATTTTTTTCAATGTTTAAAAATTAAATGAGTATTTTTTTTAAGTTAAACTAATAATTTGATCCTATGGAATTGATTTCAATTAAAGTAGGGCGATAAAGAGATTGAACTAATGATCATTTGACTATTACTTATTACGTATTAGCAAAGAATTAAACTATTATAATACAGATTTCCTTTCTGCTTAGTCTCCAAAATGTAAACTATATGAAGTCAGTAATGTAGATCATTGAAAATTCACTCATTGAACTAAGTGTGGTGACTGTAGTGGGATATACAGATGATCTGTTTATTGTCATGTGCCGCATTACTGTGTACTGTTAAAGAATTTTGAACTAACACGAATTCAATATTCATTACTTGTTGGTTATAAGTAATTTTACTACAGTTAGTGTTAGACTATAATAAAAAAATTACTCACATAAATGAATTATATCGAAATCAAAAATAATTTTTAAATATAGTGGTATCTATAATTTTCAAACTCATAGTTTTCATATTGTTTATGAGGTTATTGTATCGCAGAAAATAATAAAATCAGAGAACGTGATATCTGTAAATCTCATTAATTTAAGTATGGTATAGTTTGTACGTGGCTTTATGCAAAACAAAACTGTATGTGTATTTTAATAAAAATAACGCCTTGTCATAGATTATGTGCTAAATGTCTTTGTACTTTGACAAACTCATTTATATTTGTATTTATCACACCTGAATATTTTAAATCCCCATAGAAAAAAGGGAGTTAACTCTTAGAAAACACTTAAATCCCTATTCATTTCTCACGTGTTAGTTAGTAGTAGTGACAGTAAGATAAACCAACTTCCATATTACACTCATTCGAATTTTCACATTGTTGATGTTTTGACAAATTCACACGATCTATACAATGATCATTGGATGGTTTTAACGGATTTACAAAATGAAATGCTGTCACTTTTATTCTTTCCCTATTCTTTCATTGTCTATTATCGCTGACTTCTGAAACCTTTCAGTTTATATATGTGTGTATTGATTTTGATGAAAATGCAAGAACTGCATGAAATGTTTACTATGATCTGTATGATATCTGTAAGCTACTTACTCCAATTTTCATTGACTGCATAAAATGAATTCTACAAGTAGATGTTGATTTTTTCCCCTATTGATTTCAATGAATTCAAATACTTTGTCAGTAATGATAATAGAACTATGTCACTATAATCTAATATACAATGTTATCTTAATTGTAAGTAGGAAACTGAAAATCTGAGTTCCTGTTAACATCTTAATTCTTATGATAGTTGATTATACTCTGAACAACATTTCTAATAGCTAACTTACAAAGTTTACAAATTGAATATTGAAAGGTAAGATTAGTGCTCAAGGTTAAAGGAAAATAGGAAAACCAAAAAAATATAACTCTGATAGTTGGAAGCAGACATGAAAATAATGCGAAGCATTTGGATAGAACTGGAACGAAAGGCCCAGGATAGAGTTGGATGGAGAATGTTGATCGTCACCCTATGATCAATGAGGGGTAACAAGCTTAAGTAAGCAAGCTGATTAATGTCACAATTATTCTAAAGAAAAACATTATCTATACTGGATTTTATTTGACTGACACTGTTATTGAATTAAAATAATTTTCACAGATTACATTATGTTTATAAAACGTCATTGATTTTTAAATAAATCTTAATGGGCTTTGATTTGTGACAGTTTATGTTTTGTTCAATACTAGTTAAAACTTTATTTAGGCTATCAACTATACATAATTAATTTTATTTGTACTATCATTGAAAATTAACATAGCAACAATGTAGTTGTTGCTGTTGTTAGGCCAAATGATATTTCTAGTTTATACCGAAGTGTTAAGGTAAGCTTAACAACAAAAACAAAAATCCATAGTAGATGTACTCAGATGTTTTTTTGTCTCATCACCTTGATTCAACGAAATACTTATATCGACTTATATTTATATTCTTGTTTCTTTAAAAAGAAAAACGAACCAAATTAATGTGAACTGCGATCATTACAGTATAGTATTTCCTGTGGAATAGTTCAATGCACTTTTTAATCCAAATAACTATTTTTAGTAACTATGACAATAATATTAGTTTAAAATTGGCTTCGATATTAATTTTGTCGAGAACAAATAAAATTAAATCACTAAACACTAATCAATTTAAATGTTGTGTTTACAGAACCTGATAATTGACATTTTCCAGCGTGGATTTGTTGAATAGCTTGATTCGATGAACAATCATCAGTGCTCTATTTGAATGAGTTTGTTTGACGTAAATGATTTCACTCTTATAAGCATAATGTTTTATGTACTTTCACCCTAATTTGTGATACTTTTACGAATTGTGTTTTGCTGTAATAAACTGTCTATTGAAGATGAAACAAACAAAGGTTTCTGTAATATCGATGACCTTGAGATAAATTAGTTAACATTTTCAAAATTTCTTCGATATCAGTGACAAGCAACAACTTCTCAAATCAGTCTGGAATTACTGAATTCATAAACTTATGCACTGAAAATAGAATGACTAGTTTAACTGCTTAACTAGTTTTCTTCATAATTCCAGTGTGAATAGTCCCAATTAAAGATCTTTGATGTATATGTGGAAGACTTTTGTAAAGGCGGTTAGTAGTTGTCTTATACCAATGTCTGTCTGTATATGATAATCATCTAATCTTCAACATATGTTATCACTACGTTATGCGAATAGTCCTTCCTTTAATTTGTCTGATTAACCAGCGCGGAAATTATGTTGGCAAGCATGTTAACCAAAGATTATTTTATTTTTTTTAAAATAAATATCGAAATATTTTCGGATTGCTTTATAGGTTGTTAATTTTCAATAGCTTATCATATAAAGTACATCTGTTGAAACTAATGACTACTGATATATGTATGTAATAATTAGACGTCTCAGTTCACAATACTAACTTAAGATAAATTTATAGGTTCAATAATTTCAGTTCCCGATTAAATCACCAACCTTCTACAGTACAGCAGTCATCCTAAAAACAATAAAATCCCAGACATAAAGGCGCCTAACTAATTACCCACAAGAATTAACGCAAAACTGTAGGAAAACAGCACGAAATTAAAGAATACGTTTTTATTGGAGAAAGAATCAAGTCAAATACCAAAAAAGTCTGTACATGATTTGAAAAAACTAATAAATTCTGTTTAATTAAAAAAAAGAAAGTAGTAGAAATCAAATGTAAAATAATTTTAAAATGTAATCTGTTGAAAATATTTACAAAATATAAGTTCTAATCTAAGTATGGTCTCCACACTATTGGATCTCGAACAGACGAGGCTTCAGTAGACGAACAGGTCACTTCTCGTGTACAACTGGTTGAATCTACAATCATAGATTTCTTATCTTGTTCAGCAACTCGAGCACTAACAGTAGATGAACCAACAGATTGATTCACATCACATAAATTCGATTTCCTTACAGGCGGTACACTGAATGCTGACAACTCATTATCAGATGATAATGAGAAACGTGGTAACGAAGACAGATTTCTCATGCCGCTACTACTGAACACGTCACGCGACACTTCATCCATCTTCGATACTCTATCACGACATAAATCACCATATTGACGAGAATCCATACTTCGACTCATTCCACTAACACTACACAAATTATCCACAGTTCCTGTCAAACCCAATGATTGATTACTACTGCAAAATCCACTATCACTATTATCCAGTAATAAATTGTCTTTCTCATTACAATGTAAAGGAGTTGAATGTTGCCATTGCATCATACGTTCACTAACTCGTAAATGTCGACTACTCATTGGAGTCGACATGACAGAACAAGATGAGAATGATGATGAGGATACAGGCATGGTGGAGATTGGAGTCAAATTACTAGTAGTCCCATCGACATAGGTACTGTGAACATGAGGTGTGTTGTAATTTCCATTCAATGAAGTATTTCTGATGATTAAACTCGGGATTCTGTTCTCTTTATTGTCTTCATCAATTATCTGATCACAATTATAACGGCTTGACAATGGAGATGATTTTGACGATGAGATAGTTGGTGTACTGGACAGTTGAGTATTGGAAGTAATGTTGGTAGTAGAGTATGAATGATGGTGATTGGCTCGATGGGAACGATGGTGATGTGTGTGTGGTGTAGATTTTCTCAATGAACTATCATTTTCATTCATATTTTGTACATTTTCGTCAACATTTGATGTGGAGTCAGTTTTTGATGCAACTAATGATGATGACGACGAAGATAATGATGTTGACGTTGAAGATATTTGGGCAGTGGTTGGAATTTTATTCAAATTGTGACGTAGTTTTCTTAAACGTGCTTTCAATTCTGTCAATCAAACGATAAAAAAAATTGTCGTAAGAAAACAAAACACAAAACGAATAGAATTTAGATATTTTAAAAATCATAACTATTTAAACTGTAATAAAACTCATAATTAAAATAAATCCCTATGATAAATACTGTTTTTAACAGTTTTATTAGTAAGTTTTCATTCTTATTACTACATAGAATAGATAAATGTTTATCCAACACTGGAACTACGACACATAATCTTAATCTCGGTAATACAATTTCTTCAATAGACAACCTAATAAATTAATCTTGTGAAACATTAACCAGTTTGGTTATTAAGCTAATACAGTCCCAAACTTATAGGGGATAAAATCTTATTGTAAACGTTTCATCCCTCTTTTATAGACTCGTACAATTATAAGAAAAGGTTGATTAGCGGTTAGACTCATTTTTATACAGATTAAGATTAAATAACTCAGAGCTGATTATATAAATTATTATTTTTTTAACTCTGTATCCAAATCATAATGTTATCTCTGTAACGACTCTTGAATGATTTACTTTTTTAACATGAATTCATACCAGTGAAAACTACTTTAAAACTACCATTGTAAACTATGTTGAATTCATATCAATTGATCTGCAATTGTGTCGAATTATTCCAAATTATTCACATTAATCATTCAGTCAAGTGCTTATCATCATATTAACATTTAATTCTAATATACAATCAAACAAATTCAAATGAAAATATCAATAATGAGAGTAATGAATATAACTCACCAGGTTCATCTTTTACAATATTGGTAATTCCTTCAAATACACTTTGACATAGATTTAATATATCGGCTTTTTCAACTTTATGACATTCATTAGGCTATAGAATATAAAATTAAGAGAAAATAAATAATAGTTGAGCATTTTTGAAATGTCGATAATAATGAGAAACTGTCCACACATTGTAATACTGTTTTGATGTAACATTATTTAAGGGCTAACGCTTCTATCCAAGTTTAACCAGTAGTTTTAATACTCTCATCTATTCAATGGTAATAACTCATACAAATTGGTAGAAATAAATTTGTTAATAATTCATTGTTAAAGTCAAGTTAGTTAGTTTGTTAGTTAATATTCATGATCGATACTAACAAGAATTAACTGTAATTATCATTATTATTGTGTGACAACACTATCACTGATCTAATTATGATGTTGCTAAGTGAACTAAATCAGCCTGAATAACTAGAAACCACAAAATATCCATGCTAATACGTTTCAATTATTAAGTTCATTATACAAGGTATGTTAACAAGTGAAATCTACTAGATAATTAATGAAAAGAAATTTAGTCAAATAATAGGTGATAATTATGTCAAATTAAGGAATATTAAAAATAATTAACTATTACACAATATTCATATAAATCCGAGAAAGAACGAAAAAACTGTTAATTATATTTTGAAAGATAAATTTGAGTGAGAAATAACTAGTTCATTGTAATATTACTACTAATATAACTACTAGTTTAAATACAGGTAATGTGAGATTATGTGAGATTATTTTTAACGAGACAATATGAGGCCAATCTGTACAGGATACAATTATCCTTACAGAGAAAAGAACCCCATCGCTAGAATACAGTCAAGTGAAGAGTCGTAAATATGACTACACACCCAATCAAGATTCTTTACTACAAGCCACCATCCATCTCTGCTCAGATATACGTGTAACCTAATGGAAATATCAGAACGAACCACAGTTGGTGTATATATCACAAAAAGTAATGATCCATTTAGCTTCTATACGCTTATCAAATAACATGAATAAATGGTGAACAGATAATCATGATAATGTACACAATATTTCGTCTCTCATCTGAATTATTCACAATAAAAACAAAATTTTATATCTATTTTTCAAATTATAATATTTTCAACAAACTTACATCTATTCCTATTAGATTCATTGCTAAATTATGCAATGCATTCATTTTATCCGAGATACATGCGCGTCGTCGACGTTCCATATTTTGTTTCTTCAACTGTGTATATAATCAAACGAAGAAATAATTAAATACTTTCAAAATAGGTCATTATTAATTATTACAAAAACTTATGACAATTTGTAAAAACAGCTTTGTTCCAAAGAGAAAAATACAACAAAGTTATTAACCTTATCACATCAGAAGACATTCATCAAATCACTTGTGTAATACAGACTCGACGGACTACAAAAATTCACTTCGAATACAATTCTCCAACACACATCACATCCTGTGTTTTTACAATCTTCACTCGAGTACAATCAAGTACAACAACAAACAAACTGACAACTCAAAATATACAGCAATACCAACTACATATCAACAAATAGTCTAACAATACCAAAACTATTACTCAATCCACACTATGAAATATACAGTCACGTGTAGTCTAATCGATTCTAGTTCTAGACATACTAGAACAAGTATATGATCAGCATTGCATTTCACCAGATTACAAGCAGTAAGGTGGTTACAGTAATCAAATATGTGAAATCATTTTACAAGGTAACAGCATCCAATCATAAAAATATACTCAAATCTAGTTTATAAGTTCAGTCAGCAAAAATACACTTGTAAAGTCATCAGACTCATTAACTCATATCTAAAGAAAATAACCACGGTAAACATACTCACCCGACGTGTTTGTTCTCTGATTTCAGGTGGCACATTTGATCGTCGACCTCTTCGAGAAGGGAGAGTATTTTGAGGAGTCGGATAAGTTGAACTCGATGAACTCGAGAGATTTTGTGACATGTGGTACAAGTTTGGTGTATTGGTAATAGGTGGTACACGTGTATATTGTCCACAAGCTTCAGTATATGGTATCATCGTGAATGTGATTTATGTGGGCACGGGAGATGAATGAATTTATATCTTGTTTTAATTGTGATGAATTTGCGCGTGTTAATGAATGAACGAATGATATGGTAGCTTGTGTGAGAAATGGCAAAATGATTCGTGTGTAAATAGAATTGTCCAATGGGAAAATAGTTCATGTGCGATGAATGTTAACAGAGTGATTTGATTGGCTAGCCTAGGCTGATGGAGGGGTGTTATTCAAACTTAGCCACATGTGAAGATAGATGAAGAAGCTGTCAGCTATTTACTAGTGTATTATTTCAAGAGTATTTGGTAATAATAACCAGGATTCTAAATGTAATCTCATTATTATCAACTTATTAAATACTTAGATGGTACCGAGATGACAAACTTATTTTCAAATTGTTTGATTTTACGATTTCCTTGCTAGACTGTAAATTGACGATCAAAGTGGCGAATCATATCAAACATCTAAAGATCATAGTTTCATTAGTAATGATAGACAGAATGTCATACTAAAATTATACACTTACATTAATAACTACTATTATTATTTCCGTTGTTTCTGTAACTAGAAAATCATTCAAATTATTACTGAATATTGCTAGTTGCATAAAAAGTATAAGAATATAGAGAGTATGTGGAAATTAAGAATCTGCATCCAACGATGACAATGTCTAATAAATATATAATCTTACGCAACACTTTATTCACTGCCTTTGGTGAATATGTCTCATATTCAACAGGGATCGAAATGTATTTACTGGTGTTTTAGATTCAAACGTATTTTTTCCATTTATTATCAGTAATAATTTGATATGTCATGTTTTCTTGTTATCACTAAGAAATTTCACTGATTCCGACATCTAGATCATTATAAACATTCTTTTGCAGACTTAAAAAAGAGGGAAAATTGAATTGTGAAGCATAATTTAAATGTATCTACATTTCAGTCAGTCAGATGCAACGTAGAACTTCGTACGTTAGTACATCAGTTCATGTTTCCATACCACATCAGCATAGAGATATGATTGTCAATTCAAATCCAATAGTAGAAGAGGTAGTAATGGCATCAGAATTAATCGGAGAGGTTAGGATTAGAAGATATTATTCAAGAAGTATGATTCAGTGAGAAAAGTTTAGAAAGACAAAACTAGAGGTGTTGAAGAATCCAGAAGATTGGGATTTGAGAGAACACAAAGAATAAATGCACCGGCGCCATTGCGAACGATTTTGAGCCATGTCATTCAGGGTTTCTAACCATCGATTAATATCATCTCGCGGACCCCAACCAGGTAGTCGACAATTACCGACATGGCTAAGTCCACTCTTCAATGACTTCATGGATTTCTGCCATGTTTTGGTTTGGCCGCCCCTAGCTTTCTTCCAACCTATTCCCACACTACAAAACAAAGCTTGTCGAGGCAGTCGGTGGTTAGGCATCCGCACAACATGCCCCAACCACCTCAACAGATGAAGTTTCATTACTTCATCTACTGATCTGCCATTCTTACTTAGCACCCATTTCCTAATAACAGCGTTGCTCACTCGGGTATCCCACGATATACGAGCAATGCTTCGAAGACACCTATGATCGAAAACCAATAACCGACGAATATGTACTCTCACTGGCCATGATTCACAGCCATAAAGTAAGACGGTGCGAACTACTGCTCAGTATACGCGTCCTTTAGTCAGCGAACGGATATCTCGCCTAGTATCTACATTTAGATAGACTTTTATAGAAATCGGTCATCAGTTTAGCACCTACAAATTAATTTATTGCACAAAGTTAATATTAGTTAGTCTAAATACTAATGTAAATCATTGTTCTACTGATCGGTGATGAATTTTCTTCTAAGGGGGAGCATCTAAATGTCTACAACTATTCTACCTTGACCTTTAATATCAGTTTAATCATCATTCATCAAGCTATATAGAGAAAGCATTTATGTATCCATTTACTTGATATTCAGACAATTTTAATGATTAAATTGATTGAAAATGGACAGAGAAAATTATGAATATACTTAATATGTATATATTTCATAGATATTCTTTTGATAATAACTTCACATTCCTTCAATATTGAATTCTTGAAATGAATGACACTTAGAAAAAAATGACCAATATTTATTTAACCTGATTTTTATAAAACACCATATACAGGTGTTAAAAAAATATTTCAGACATTCCCTTCTTTCTTTCTCTTAGAATAATACTACTTACGATGCATGACAGTTAGAACTGCAAAGAATGAATGTTGAAATTTGTAATTTCACTTATCAACTTGACGTATAGACCCTAAAGATTATCATTGCACTGATCGATTTATTCATCCATTCACAAACTGACATACATTTCTAATGTAAATAGACTAAAATCAACACAATTATTGACCACTGAATAACCAGCATCTAGTTGGTTAACGTTATAATACTGGAAATAGTATATCAGTTATGTTATGTCTTTGCTTATATCATGACAGTAAACATCTATTTGCATGTGTTTTTTCTTACACAGATGCCTACTACTTGATAGGTGTGTTGCATAGTCAAACACTGTACTACAATTAGTATAAATAACAGAAATCAAACAAATATTTATTATTTTTCTAAAAGATGACTTACTCATCACTTGTTCAGATAAGAGAATTCGCTCTATTTTTACAAGTTAAGTGTATCGTTGACAAAAATGCACTGAACTTATTTCATCTTGTTTTGTTTTTTTCTTAAAAAAAACTAAAAGTATGTCAAAACAGTGAACAGACAATAAATGCAAAACATGTTAGGATTATTGTGTCATCTAATTTAGACGCATGATCATCTTTTTGTGTGTCACTTCATTCAAATTTTGGACATTGATCAACAAACTGGGTTGTTGTTTTGTCTTCTTTTTCTACAAAATAAACAAACCATCAAACAAGATCTACCAAGAATAACATTTTCTTAAGTTTATGAAAATGATAATTTGTTTGAAGTTATTTACAGACTAATTTGTTAAGTTTTTTTTTTTTAAAAAAAGTTAAAGTTGTTATTCGATTGAAGATTAGTTCAACCGTAATGAACAAATATTAATAATAATAATAACTAGAAAAGAATAAAACCTGATTTTATTTTAACTATTCATATACATGATAAATATTTGTCAAGAGTTTCAAGTGTTATTGTTTTGTATGAAAACTAGACAAATACTTAACCAATTAATAGAAAAACAAAACATCTGTTCTAATTCTGTTCCAATATTAAAAATTGTAATTATGTAAGTGTAATTCTAAATGTAATTGAACAATGTTCTTGTGTTATTTAAAAAATTTAATTGAAAATATTACTTTGTTGCAATTGGTAATTGCAGTCTTAACATGGAATCTACAATGAATTTTTTTAATATATACTTTACTCATACAAACCCAACTATTATAAACAGTGGTGGTTAATGGTTTTCTGGTGAGTATGTACAGTTGTTGAATAGTAAACGGATTAAACTCACCAGCCACCAACAGAAACCTCAAAGCACTTCCTAGTATAGGACTTACTAGCAGTGCGCATTCACGACCCTTTGACATGAGAATCGTTCTCACATGCAAACGACGAACCTGGATTGTTCAACGCTTCTGGTTTCTAATGGTGGTCTAACATTGATCAATGAATGATTTTACTGAAACTCAACAATCTTCACAATCTTATAATAAGAATATTACTTTATAGTAGACTAGATGAATAATGACGCTAGAAATCGTTCGTTTTCTACTACCGATAATTTTTTTGAAAGAAAAAAAAAACTGGAAATGTTGACACTTACTAACAAATGAAATATGAGTAGTGAACAGTGATTTCATCAACTGTCTAAATGAAAAATTTCATGTTACTGTTTAGATTTGTGTGGATTCAATTCGCTAATAGTTTTCATATTTGACTGAAATGATCAACATATGGTTGGAACAATATAAAATCAACATAAAAATTTACTTGACAACTAATTTCCTGAACTAAACTATAAGTATTCACTTTGTAATACACTTATGAATGATCATTTGTGATTAGAAAGATTTTGCGTGACATGAATAGTTGCGCAACTGTTGCATAATAATAATAATTATTATACTTTTGATGAATAGGCTGGTAACCTTGTTTTAATGATATTCAAAGTAAATCATAATGTACCTAATTTCATAACTGTTGTCATGTAAATTTTAGGAAATAAATGAAATTACATAGTTTTCATAGTAGATGAGACTTGAAAAATTATGGGGTGGATAAAGATGAAAAGTTTAGCTAAGTAGCTTGTGAACATTATTCAATAGGGCACGAGCTTGCACGAGTATGCACATATCAACTAAAAATTTATACAGCATTGACATGTTAATTTTGAACTGATCGTAAACGTAAATATGTATTAGAACAGAAGTAAACATGAAAGTAGGTTCATGTAAAACATTAATAATTTGATAATATTGTCTACATTCAAGAAAACACAGGGTAGTTAGTGTAGGTCATGAACAAAATTATAGCATACAAACATCACCCACTGTGATATGCAAACACAAAGGAGTGCTTAAGCGAGAAGAATTCAGTTGGAAAACTTACAGTGATGAAATTTACGAAATACTATGACAAGTTTTTTAATCTGGATAGTCGAGAAGTGTTGTGTTATTTTATTCGGACCATCTCACTGATGTAGTTTCTAAGATGCTAATTACTATGACATCTATGTAATGTTGTATTTTGGAATAATTAAGGTGAATTTTTCCCATTGACCTATAATCCTCAGATAATGTGCTTAGTTTCTACAAACCATACATGAACAATATCACCACTACAGTTTTCAAGAAGAGATCATCATTAGAAATTACAAGAAGCTTCTCATTAATAAATTAGTCAGTTAATTAAAACATGTTAATAGTATTCGATCATAGATGTCTTAGAAGCATTGCTCGTGTATCGTGGGACAACCGAGTAAGCGATGCTTCCATTAAGAAACGAGTACTAGGTAAAGATGGCAGATTAATAGACGAATTAGTGATAC